GTCAAAAATGAAGAGGTAGCATGGTTGGTAGCAACATCAGGTGTGTCAAAGAGATAGTTTTAAGAAAGTAAATGAGATTAGGAAAGCTATTGAGATTGCATGCAACTAGAGTTTAGTGGTTAATTTTTCTAAACTTGTAAAGAGAAGCAGAGGCAAGTGTTATTTGAAGAAAGGATAAAAGGGAAAGGAAAATGTCTTGAATTTATAGCCCGAAAAACAACCTTTTAGTCTACTGTGAATTTTGGTTTTAGGCTTGACAAGCTTTAATCCAAGCCTAGCACCTTGTCCAAGCCTAGCTTTAGATGATATTAAGCTTATTAAAATCACATACTAGATTGAAGTCTAGGTTTCTACTCCAAATCTTGGCATTTCTTTCTTTCCTCATCTTCATTTAGTTTATTTTTATTTTCTTATTTCTTTTATTTATTAGTCATGCTTATTTGTAGGAAAGTATTTTAATTACTTAGATATTATTAAAATGTATAAATGTGTTATGAATTCAAATATGCTTTAAATGAAATAAGCTAATAATTTAAATATTAAATATTTTAAAAGGTAAATAAGTCTCTCCAATGATGAAATTCCAAAAAACAAGAATGGTTAATTTTCTAAAATTTTTATTTTGCCATATGGTAGCAAAGTTAAATAAATTTAAATATCAATAATTAACATTTATTTTCAAACATAATAAAATAGAAATGATAAATTTTTTTGATAATAAAAGGAACCCAATGAAATTCTAAGAGATCAATAATGGTTGATTCTCTAAAAATTCCTAGATAAGAAATTTATTTTTAAATTTTCCCAGAATAGTGATAAGATTATATAGAATTTCAATAATAGTAAATAATAAAGATACGTTAATTTCAATGATAGTAAATAATAAAGATAGGTTAAATTCTAAAAATAATAAAAATAAAATTTTGAAATAAGAATAAAGTAAATTTGATGATGAAATTTTAAGAAATCAAGAATTGTTGATTTTCTTAGAAATCTTTAGGTGAGAAATATTTCTAAATGTTTTTAGAATGGTAGCAAGTTTATATATATTTAATAAAATGAATTAATTAAAATAAAAATGAAGATTAACAATAAATTAATCAAACTAAATCCAACAACAGAGTTTCTTCAAATGAACAAATGTGTTCTTTGAAATCTCTTAAGGTGATTAAAATTTTAGAAATTCCACAAAATAACAGATAACACCTAAAATTCTTTATTATATGCAAATGAAATAAAAGCCATAAATAAAAACCAATCTACCCAAGATTGAGGATAATTTAGAATTAATTGGTACCATTTTATGATGGGTGTTATGGAAATACTATAACATTTTTCACATGTAACTGAACTTCCAAACTTAGTTTTGAAATGCAAACCAAAAACCTATTCTTTTAGGAATTTTTACTCAAACTTGGAACCTTTTTCAAAAAGATAGATCCATTAGGTGACCAATCACATTTAAATAAAAAAGATTAATTGTAACTTCTTAAATTTATATCTAGTAATAAGTCCACGAATTTATATGTTATAACATGTGAAATTAAAAAATAATATGAAAAATTCACAAAAAAAAACCTTTTCAAAAAATTGAAGATAGTATTCCTTTATAAAAAAATAATTATTTAGATTTTTTCCAATATCTAAATAGGATCTCCAAAATTATTTTTTACTTAGAAATATGATTTTTTTTTATTTAAAAAAATCCCTATAAAAATTATTTTTAAATTATAAATTATTATTATTTATTAAAAATTTATTATCATTTTTTTGCCAACTTTAATGATCCATAAACAAACTTAATGTCAAGAATATCTAAAACATAGGGAAAATAAATATAAATAATAACATAACAAAATATAAAAAAGGTAGACAATATACCAAATAAAATTTTTTGGACTTAAACTTTAAGTCAACCAAAATTCAATTGGCCCAAATCTAATGTGCTCTTAGATGGAGCTCAATTAGGCCAGGTCTAATAATAATCAGGTCGGCAGCATAAGGAATGGGTTTAATAGATATGGTGCGAGCCGGGCCAAAAGGCGCCAGGTTGGGTTAGCCTACCTAGTTTTCTTTTTTATTGCTTATAAAATCAATTTTTTAAAAAAATCATTTCCACTCCCTTAAAAAAAAAAACTCTCTTTTTCTTAAAAAATTTCCCAAGCACACCAACCACATTTGAAACAGTCCAATTCCTGCGATTGTTCTGTCACGTTGACTGTCGATGACCACCGTCAACCATCGAACCGATGTCCTTTTCAACCCAAATATTCACCAACCTCTCTCCTTAATGTTTTCGTTACAAATTCAAGCTCAAATTTTCATTAAAAAATGCCTTTAAACCAGTAGATCTAAAATAAGAACTAAAAACTTCTAACTATCGAAACACCACATCCCATAATTTGATTTTTTTTCAATTTTAGTATGTCGTTAACTTCTTCATTCTCTCCATTTCCATTGTTCCCAATCTCTAAAAACTAGTGTCATTGTGGACCACCAATGTTACCGTTGTTAACCACTAATGGTGATGGTTCTCTTTCTCTTTTATTTTATTTTTTGATCTTCGTTTATTTATTTTTTTAGAAGTTGTTCGACACTATTTCTCCTTCCTCTAGGATGAGGATTTTTTTTTTGTTCCTTCCTTTTTGTTTTCTATTACTATTTGGGTAAAGGTGAATTTTAGGTAGTTTAAGGATGGGTTTTTGGTTGGGTTATAAGAGAGAGAATGACTTGGCTAGGCTGGTAGAAGGTGCTTTTCATTGGTGTTGGGTGGTGGCTTGGGGCTATGGGTGATGGGGTGTTTCGATAATAGGGGTTTATGAAGCTAGTTGTGTTTTTGTTTGGTAAAGTTTTGCCCCCTCCCTTGTGAATTAGCCTATTCTCTTGTCTGTGATTGCAAGCTCAATTTAAAAAGTTAAACCCAACAAATCCTAGATTTTTTAAGATTTGAGAAAGTCTGAATTTTTTACTGCCAAATTAGGTAGTGATAGAGCATGGGCAGTCAAATTACTTGAATTCGGCTGTTTAAAGTTTTGCCCATTCAAGCTGTCTACTTTTTTTTTTTGACTTTTTGAATTTTTTTAGAAAAATAAAAATTGAAAATGGGATAGGCCAAAAGTTTCATTGGGCCCTCAAGCCCAAATAATTTAGACAAATTAAGTGATTTTAAGTCAAAATCAATTAGAATTAGACTTAACCCATGCAACCTATTCGAAGGCATAATAAATCCCCAAAAAGTTTATCAAGACAATAATTAATTGTAATGTTTGAACCGGTTTAAACCGAATAGATTCAAGTAAATAAAAAATTCCTTAGCAAATTGTTTTGTTCTTGTTTTAAAATCAATTTGGACAAAATTTGATGTCTACAATCTACAAAGAAAAAAAAACTTTTGCCAAAAGCCAAAAAGTACAAGAAAAAGAAAAATGTATGCTTCCATTGTGGAAAGCAAGGATAGTTCAAAAAAGGTTGCCCCGCAATCAAAAGGAAAAAGAAGCACCTAATGTAAAGAAAACTTTGTTGTAATAATTTTTGAAATCAATGTCATTGAAGACAAAGAAACACGGTGGATTGATTTCGGTGCGATTAAACATGTATGTACCAACAAAGCATTGTTCAAGACTTTTCGAAAGGAAAAAGGTAATGTGTTGCACATGAGAAATTCATCTGCTACTGAAATCAAATGTAGAGTACCGATTAATTTTAATAGATTCAAGGTTGAGGTTAAATCATTTTTTTCTCTTTTTGATATGTTTCTCTTACCCCTTGAATTTATTAAAATCAATACTTAAAAAATGTAAAATTTTTATTTTTATATCAGTGTAAGTTGATCTATCTTAAAAAAATACAAATTCATTCCCATCAAAAGTTAAAAGAAAAAAAAAATTATATTGTTTCAACCAAAAGTTCCACAATATTCTTCCATGGAAGCCCATTCAACCATATAAATTAAAAATATGGACTCTAATTAATAGGTATCAACATTTATTAAAATAAAAAACTCTTTTCTAATTGGTTAATTCCCTACAGGCAATAACTACGAACATTATCAAATTTTTACAAGTACAAATGATTTATATTGTGAAAGGTTATCCTTTTTAACAAAATATTGTCAGGAAGTATTTGGGGAAAATCTGTCTCTCATTTATATACAACTCTCATTTATATATTATAGGTTTTTAGATTCTCAAATATAAAAGAAAATTACTTATATTTTAAAGTATTTATTGTTTTGTCATAAACTATATAGTAATCTTATTTTATAAACTCAATAGTTTTAAAATTAAACCTATTTTCAATGAGAAACTTTTTTAAAATAAAAAATATTAAAGTAAATTATCTTATATCTAATAACTATTTAATTTACTATAATTTTATATTCAAGTTGAGCTTTCATATTTAAATGAAACAACAGAGTATTTTTGCATTCTCAGATTATAATTTTTTTTTAAAGAAAAAAATTGGAGTATTTGAGCATCTATTTTTCTTTTACTTGGATAAATTGTGTCTTCTGAGGTTGGTTTTTTTTTTTTTAGCAAGGGAAGACCTTTTACATTCGCCTTTGTGTAGTTGTCTTAATTTTTGGTGGTCTTAAAAAAGACTGGATTTTTTATTACATGCTTTTCTTGGCGGCAGCAGAAGAAAGCCAAGAGAGTGTTAGATTATAAGGACAAGGAGATATTTTGGGTGCCAGCCCAAAAGCCCGCCTTTGTTTAAGGTTTGATATTGCGTCATACGAGTTACGTTAACATGCTTGCATCGCTTAACGTTGCGATGCCATCAACATCCCACCCACGTCACCAAGTGACGCAACTTCACTACGCACGTCATTTCGCGTTTTAATTGTGCCCCATGGGGTGCGCCGAGTTCCCTAGATTACCCAGAAAATCAACCTAACCTTGATCAGTTTGGCTGCCAGGGCAAGTCAGTCTTTTTAAATCTGACCCAGATGGCCAAATTCCCCTCGTATAAATAGGTGGGCAAATTTGAAAGAATTTGTAAGCAGAAGCGAAAACACGGGAGGGACTTGTACACGCTGTTTCAGCCTCCTGTTACCAGCGATTAGAGAAAAAAACAAAGTAGCCTACTGTTTCAGCTCTGAATTTTACCCTTTGTTTTTTCTCTTCTTTTTCACATGGCAACCGACGAGAAGAGAGTTCATGTCTACAATGGTGAAGATAAGGAGCAAGAAGATCAGAAGATGGAGCAATTCTTTGCCCTGATAAGGAATTTTCAGGAGGCACGTAATAGGAGAAAAGACGCGCTGGGACAAAGGGAGGAGAAGATAACTAATAGAAAGCTAAACAAGATAAGGAGGTTAGATGATGAGCATTCAAGTTGGGTACCAACTTTTGAATGGGCAGATTTTACTAAGGATATTGAGTTTCGGAGGCCACCCATCATCTTTCCAAGCCCAAACAACAAGAAAGATGACAAGAAAAAACAAGATGAAGATGATGGATTAGATCTTAAGCTCACCCTTTAGCTACCTTCAGCTTTTCTCTTTTTCAAAAGAATGTTAATTACAACTTAAAATGAAAATTAATTACTTTTGGAGTTTAAATGATCATGTGTTATTCTGTTCTTAATGATCAATGTTCAATCTCGTTACTATCAGCTATTAAGTTTGAAGGTCATGGGTGAATGCAGTTTTCCCATTTAAAAGAGGTTTCTGTTTTGAAACTAAATCTGGTATTCAATTTTATTGGCAAAGCAGAAAAAAAAAATCAAAGAGGTGGGGTTGCGTGTCATATCGTCCACTTCTTTAACGTGGAAAACGAATGGAAAGAATTTGAAGTGAAGTCGCGAAGTTGTTAGAAACAATCCCATAAAAATTAAAAATTATAATTATAAAAATTTAAATTTAAAATTTATAAATTGAAAGCTTTCATTATATAAACTAAATCTGTAAAATTTGAATAAAGTTTTACATTTTTTTAGATAAATATTTTAGTAAAACTATTAATAAAATTTTTACAATTGAATAAGTATAAGTCAAATTTGAATTATAAATAATATTTTTAATAATTTTTACATATTATTAATATTTACATTAAATTATATTAATTTATTAATTTGAATATTTTATTAAAATTTTTATTATATTGTTTTTAATTTCAAAAAACTTAATATAAGTTTTGTCCGTAAAAAAAAACTTTCAAATTATCCTGATTGAAGTGCATTGCTGGTAAGATAAAGGATTTGGTTTGGTTTGTTGCTTCAAAATTCAAAGAGACTTTTGTGGTCTAAAAAAAGGTAGGACCCTCATGTGGTTAGATATTTTTCATCGCTAGCTAAGTTCTGTTAGGAGCATTTTACGATCATAACGATAATATAGATTTTTGCCTTAACAAATGAGTCATCAACCAAGTGAGGCAATTTTGTCATTTAACCTAAGATAATGTGTTAGGCCTATTTGAAGTATCGAGACTCACGTTAGCTCAACTACATCAATTTGTCACTTGAAGTCATATGAGAATGTTGACTTATTATCTCCTAGTTGGCCTTTGGATTGCCAAATCAGGTCAGGCTAGTAACATTGACTCTTGACCCACCATCTCAAGGTTAGGTTATCCTAGCCTGACTCTCTTATCCTACAAGCATAAATAACCCTTTCTTGCCAAGTAGAGATATCCCATTTTTTCTTTTCTTGCTTCTTAAGTTTTTTCTCATTTTTTCTTTTCTCGAGTTTCAACTTAAATGTTGGAGTACAAACTTCAGAGAAACCTCCAACCTTGCTTCAACCGACCTCTGAAATTGTGGTTTTAGGTTACTATCCTTTTCGAACAACTCAGCACCAACATTTTTAATGCACCAGATTAAGGGTAAGAGTTCTACGACAATGTCAAAGTTAAAAAAAAAAAGTCATAGCTTAGAAGCCCCAAAAAGGTCACAAGAGGAACCTTTATCTTTCAATCAAGCTATCAAGCTCCAGCCTTCTTTAAAAGGCTCTTCATCATTATGGAGTTCGATTTATTAGAGAAAGCTTATAAGGATCTCGAGGTGATGAAAAAGATTGCTCAGGCTAGCATATTTAAAAAAGGTATGTTATAAATAGGTATTTATTTTAAAAATTATTCATAAAAGAATTAGTCTTTAAGCTTGGTTTTTATTTTACAGTTCTTAATCGTATCTATTGCCTCGAAATTATCGTTAGTCAGAAGGTCACCTTAGCCTCTTCAAACAAGTTTAGCCTATTATTTATTTCACAAATCCCCTTAACCTTTTTAATACAAAGGAAAAAAACTTTTCACGTGTTAATAAGCTCGACCAGTTAGTAAAAATCTTTTTTGTAGGATGAGCTATAACATAGTATTAGCTCTTATTATGAGGATATTCTTAATAACAAAATATTCCTTGAATAGATCCAAGGCAAGGAGAAGACCTAGCTTTTTACAAATTATTATAAAATCTACTATGTACTTAAAAAAAATTAGAAGTGAACTAAGTGATAGTTAAATTATAAGCTAAAAAAGTTTCTTAAAATTGACCAAAATTGAGTCCCAATATACTTATATTTTATCGTATTCTACTAGATTGGTAATCTTCTCCTGCGATGACAATAGCAACCCTATAACCTTTTGAAGGAAAGTCAAACCTATCTCTTACAATGGTAAAGTGAAGAACAAAGCAGAGGTTAGGGCACATTTCAAGAACAATTCAGCCCTTTGTACTCCTCATCACGTCTTTTGAGGTGACTCCTAAAAGGCAAAAGGTATAAAAAAAAATAAAAGAATCATCATCATAATTCTTGACATCATATACCTCTTCTTCACCCATACCTTCCTCTACGTCCTAGTCGAACCTTTTGGCTTGCTCAAAATCCTGAGCTTATCCAATCTTAGAAGCTTCTTCGTTATCTTGCTTAACCATTGGATCTTGAGTAGGTCCTTTAGTTTGAGCAGAAGTAAGAACCTCTATCATATCAGAAAAAGATAAAGATGTCTCAAACATAAAAAATTCTTAGAAATTATATAATGATCCAAAGCTAGAACTTAAGATTAGGCTAACAATTAGATTGACACTAGCCAAAACAATTAAGGGTATGATAGAAAAATGGAGTTTAACTAAAAAAAAAAGTTAGAGGAAAGGCAAAAGAAGAAAAGGTTAAAGAAAAGGATGGAAAGCTAGCTGATTGAGCCAAATTGACTACATTGGTAAGGATGAGAGGATTTTGAAGGTCAAAATCTATTGTTGCTAGAAGCTCTTCCATCTCATAGAAGATTTTTTTTTTATTTATTTTTAGTCCTCTGCTGACATCAGGTTTAATCAATAGGCTACTTAAGTGTAATCTCTTCCAACAATGATAAAACAAAAGACCTTATCATTTAAAGAAACCTCTACATTTTCCTAGTCGAGCTGATTATTCTAACCTTTACTTGAAAGTTAGATAAACTTGAATCTGAAAACATAGTTAAAGATAAAAAACATATTGAGAAAATGAAAAAAAAAAAAAAAGTTAACTAAAGTTTAAAAAAATGAGAAGATCAATAAAGATAGGTTGACATAAAAGCAAAAAAAGTAGAAAGAAAGCTAGAGAGTGAAAAAACTGAAGTCCTAGAAGGCTTTATATAGCCAAGTCCCATATCGGATAGGCAACCTAGATTGAGCCACATCATCATACTGATATCAAGAATGACCTTTTAGTTTCTCTATTCAAATTTAAATAATCACCTAATTTTTATATTCTCATCTAAATTTCTCTCTCCTTATTAAATATATATTCAAATGAATCTGTAATTGGTTTACCTAAAATATATAAGTGTCATGTCAGTCATAATATATGAATATCACGTTGGCTTTATTGTCTGTATACAACAGTGAATTCTACATCGACCATATTGCATTAACCATTAATCATGTTGTTTAGGTCAAAACATCCACACCGCTCATGTTAAAATTATCATAAATATTAACTAGATAAGAATTATGTCAAGGCATTCATAAAAACAACTTTTTCTTCAATACCATGAAAACTCCAAAAATATCCATGTTTAACTTGTAGCTCGATCTTAACCATAATAGATTAGCCAATGCCATTTCTCATTAGTTTGATGTGTCAGACTATTTGATTGGAGGATAAACTGTTAGGGGCAATTTATGGTCGTAAAGGTAATATAGACTTTTTACCCTAGAGGATAAATCATCAACCAAGCGGGATAATTTTATGATTTTAACCCAAGTTGATGTGTCAAGCCAGCCTGAAATCTCGGGACCCACATAAGCACAACCACCTCAAATTGCTACTTAAAGGTACATGGGAATGCTAACATGTCACCTTCTGGTTCATTTTAGGATTGTCAAATTAAGGCAGGCCAGCATTACCAACTCTTAACCCGCCATCTCAAAGTTAGGCTACCCTAGTTCAACTCTCTCAACTTTTAGGTATAAGTAACCCCTTTATGCTAGATAAAGACATCTTTTTTTTTCTTTTCTTGCTTCTTGAGTTTTCTTTCCTTTTATCTCTCTTCTTGAGTATTGATTTGAGCATTGAAGCATAAACATCGGATAAACCTTTGACCTTTGCTTCTAACCAATCTCTAAACTTATGATTTCAGGTTAATGTCCTCCTCAAATAGTTTGGCATAACAAGTTTTTATTTGATTTATTAACAAATTTTAAATTATGAATTTTGTTTTTTTATAAATGAAGATGAAAAGAAGAGGAATAGTTTCATATAATCATTACTTGAATTTAGCTTAAATGATAAAGATAGAATAAAAGTTTCAATTCAAACTTAATTTTTTTCATATAAAAAGAATGATGATTATTGGTTAGCATGCATGATAACGAAGGTAAATTTACTTATTATGAACATTAACATGAACTTTACATTTATTTGTTAATTTTCAAGTGTTAAGTGGTTAAAATCATATGATTAATATTCGAATTTGAAAACTTAAAATAAATATTTTAGTTTAGAAAAAAATATTTTTCTTTTTTATGAACATTAACAAGAACTTTATATTTACATTTTAAGTTCTATTTTCCCTTTGGTTAATGCAAAAGATCATGGCATAAGAAAAAAGAGTTCAATGCTAATTAAAAAGAAAAAGGTTGGGGAATATTAAAAAGATTTTTAAAGCTAATGTGCCATTAACCACTGTTAACTAAGGGTAAGTTTTCAAAAGGATGTGCATAAATTAACCCCTCTTAAAATATGCCATTTACGTTATGTATAGGATCCAGCCCCATTATTTTGGCTAATTAAAGGCCATGGGCCTTTTGATTTTTAGTGTGAAATAGAGCCTTACAAATAAAAGTGGGGGTTGGTTTTTGGCATAGAAAAAAGAGGTGAGTGGCACCGAAGAAAAAAGAAAAAAAATTAGAAAAAAAAGAGAAAAAAAAGGAAAAAAGAGAGCTACCAATTGGATAGAGGTCGATTTGTGGTTCGATTAAGTTAAAATTTTATCAGTGTATTCATAATTAAATGTTTACATTCTAAACAATAGGGATCAAGTTTGAAGCTCTGTAAAAATAAATTCAATGTGTACTTATTGAGTCTCCTATTTAGTGGGATTTTTCCATTGTCTCTCTAATGTTGAATAGCTTTAGTTTTAGCTATAAGAGAACTTTTGTATATTTATTATTTGATAGTAGAGATTTTTCTGGTAGTCTATGAGTTTTTCACGTAAATTTTAATGTACTTTATTTTCCTACATTTTAGATTATTTATTATTGTTTATTTGCTCTAGGTTTATTATGATATATTCTTCTTTATTATTATATTTGTCACTTTAAGCCAAACAAGTAGTATTAAAGTTACAGTTATTTTTAAGACATTGATACAGTTTTTACCTAAGACAGAAGCAAATTTTATTTTAGATCATG